TTAAGTGTGAAATCGTATTTCAACCGAGTCGTTGTTTATTTCATAACTGCTAGTGAATAAAATAAATGTATGGAATGAGTTGATTTTTCTGGACTTTTGCTTTTGAGATATCGAAATTTTATTGCTGTAATTCTTCTCAGGTCACGTGAGAGTCTTGACTTAAAAGTTTACACGAACATTTAATTTTTAATGAGATTAGTTGATTGTGTAAGTTTGAGCTTTTCTAGTATTTTATTTGTGAAGATGTAAATATACGCACGCAATTTGCTTTTACACATCAGAGAATTTTGAATATTCAATATCTTAGCAAAGGAGATAATAGAAAAGCTAAAATTTATACAACCAACTAATGTCATTAAGAACCTCGTTCATGCAAAGCTTGACGTTGGAACTGTTACGCGATCTGAGGAGGATTGGAGCCTTTTGTTGAAAAATTCAGTCAATTTTCAATATCTGAAGGATGAAGACTCGGAAAATCGAATTATGAGAGACATTTCTATTACTTATTAGTACTCATCAAATAAACATAGTCTTGATCGAAAAGCAATTTGTCATGGGGAGAAGTATTTGTTTGTCTTATTAAAATATTGTTTATACAAAATTTCTAAATGACTAATTTAACTCTTGGCCAAAAGAACAAGAAAAATTTATACATTTCTTGCATGAAAATATAAATAATAAGGACTTGAGTTCTATGAACAATTGTAATATCTATTGCTGCAAATAAATCGTCGTATTTGCTGTGGGAGAGGAAATCAGAATTTAATGTAACCAAAAAACTATTGATTGCTACTGTGTATTTCTTGAGAAATTTCGTTCTCTAAAAGTATGTAATTCAAAAAATAAACTTAATATAACCTGTGTGTAAAAAAAATCTTTGCAAAACATGTCTACCTAATTTTCAACTACCATAAGTCACTGTAGAAAATCAAAAGTAATCAGTTAGAATTTATTTTCTGACTTAAATTGAATTCATCCTGAAGAAACCTGAGACGAACACTAAAAAATAGAGTCTATACAAAATTTTTCGTGTAGTTCGATTTTGTATTTTGATAACAACTATCTCAATCCAAACTCTAAGAAAGTATTTTAATACACTACGTTGTAGATCAAATTTTGCTCTACCAAATACTCAATTCGTTTTTCTTTTTAGATAGTGTTACAAATAATCTAAGTCGATGACATTCTAAATACCGAAATTCAAAAAAAATGACTTTTTAAAAAAATGTCGTTCCACGCAAAGAGTTTGATTCTTTTGAAGTTCTAGCTTACTGTGATGTATGATTTAGTAGAATATTAAATTCTGTGCAACGTTAGAAAGTCTATTTTGCTAATATGTAGAGGATTACTAGAGCAGCTAACCTCTAAAGGTTTTCTGCTTTTGCTTAGGTGTGGTCGAGATAGGAACTTTTTTCATAGATTTCCCCTACAGGAAGAAGTCCAATTTTCGAAAAAAATTATATTTGAGAATTTCGACCTGAAACTTTGTACACATATGGATCTTGATTAGACTAACACATATACGAATTTTCACTAGTTTTGCATATCGAATTGTTCAGATATGGATTCCTCAATACACCCCTATCTTGCACAACACTTAAAGAAAAGAGTAGACATACGTATTAAGAAACCTATATATTAGGAATGTGATATTCAAAATTGATGAAACTTTGTATATGAGATAGTCTAATCGAAACTTTCATGTATATAAAATTTTAGGTCGAAATTTCGAAATATATTTTTTTCAAAAACTAGACTTCTGCAGGATAAATCTACTAAAAACTTGATAATCTCGACTAAATTTGAGCAAAGAGTAGAAAACCTTTAGAATTTGTACTACTCTAGTCACCTTCTACATATTGGCAAAATACGCAGGCAAACAAAGCGGAGAACTTAATAATTCTTCTCTGAACATCCATTTAGAAAGAGCATCAAATTCTGATTGTACCTGACTGCTTTTGAGCCTCTTCAACGACGTCTAAACCTCCAAAAAATTAATAAACATATTTACCGATACCTTTTATATTAATATTTTGTACAAACGTCGATTTTGACCTCTATCAAATTATTGTTCTTCACAAACAAACTTTAAGCTGGAATAAAGTCTGAATATATATAATTAAACAGAGTATGAAATTTTCATTCTAGCTGATATCTTTTGATTCTCTTCAGGACTTATCAGTAGACAAAAATTGATTAGATATGTTGTACAAAGACTTTATATACGTATAGGTCAACTAACATACAACTATGTACCGAAAATCCAGTAATTTTGATTGATAACGTCTGTAGAGTATATAAATAAATGTCTAACAAAGAAGAAATAGAAAACATGTTTTTTTCATAATTTTTCTTGTGTTGAAAGCTCATATCAGTTCCGTTATGTTCTCGCTTACATAAAAACTAAGATACATTTAGTTATCTTCAAATCATATGATGTTTGACTGAATAAAAAAAAAACTGTCATTTCATCAATTATTTTTGCTTGAATAGATTTTGTAATCAATCTCAATAAGATTTCATTCTATCAAAATCGATAAACTATGAAACAAAAATTATATTGTTGTTATTTTTGTTTTGTATTTTGAATATTTTTTTTTATTTAATCCTTTTTTCTTTCAATCAAAACAGCTTACAATAAACTATAGAAAAAAAAAAAGTTTTTTCAACTGTTTCTTTCGATCGTTAAAACACGATTAAGAGTTGTAAGAAGTAAATAATATTTCTTTTGCAAATCTACTGTGAGTTTTTTTTTTTAAAATATTTTCAAACAAGATTGAATAGAATGGGTGAGATCGAGTAAAGACATAATTTTTTTTTTCTCTATACGTAAAAGTGGGTGTTGAAGGCTGTTGCCTTTCACACTTTTTACTCTCAATATTACATAAAAAATTCTTTACAAATTGAAAGAATGAGTCATATATAAAGACGATCGTGCAAATTGAGAACAAAAGTGTATGCCAATACACACATTTTTTTTTCTTTTTTTTATGAATCTACCTTTTATTCTAAACTGATGTTAACGTCCGTCAATCTCCTAGACAACATATAAGCATCATTTTTCTCTTGAAATAAATCAATACCATTTGCAAGACTTGCATATTCAAGAGAACATTGTACATGTTTTATATATGAACATATATATATACTACAATCTTTTTATTTTTTATTTTAGATATTGTTTTTCTTTGAAATAAATAAATAATTTTATTTTAACAAAATGGCATCAGGTGGGAGCAGTGGTTTAAAAGCCGCTTTCGATCAATATTCAAAATTTGGTAAAACTGATGCACAATTAAAAGAAAAAGATATTCGAATTGATTCAAAAAATATTCAAAAAATGATGAAAGATGCAGGTGTTGTTGATGCTAAATATTCAACACAATTACTGGATAATGATGTTGCTCGCGTTCTTGGAAAACTTACAAGTGGAGGAACATATGCGAAGGGACTGTAAGTAAAAAAAACTTAAATCAATTGAGTTTTATGAATATGACGCATACGTTCTAGTAAAACATTTGAGTTACAAGGTTTTAAACAACTTATTGATCAAGTTGCTTCATCAAAGAAAACAACGAGTGATCAAATTATTGAACAAATCAATTCCACAGGTGGCCCAAGTTTAGCTAATGTCACAGTAAGATATTAATTAAAATGTCAAATAAATTTTTATAATTCTTGCTATATTTAGGGTACTGCCAATAAGGGTATAACCGATCGTATGACTGATGCAAGTCAATATACAGGTTCACACAAAGAACGTTTTGATGTTGAAGGACATGGAAAAGGAAAAGAAGGTCGTGTTGATGAAGCTAAAAATTCAGGTTATGTTGGCAGTTATAAAGGAGAAGGCACTTATGATAAAAAGCATTAAATTCAATCAAACTATATGAACATTAAAAAAAAAACTTCGAAACCATATAAATAAACATGCGTATTTGTTCTTATGCAGAATATGTATCTCACTATTGTCTATTTCATGAGTTTTTTTTTATAAAATAAAACTAGAAGAAATAGAATCAAAAGATTTTTGATTGATATAAATCATTTGACTATGCTTTGTTTATAAGAACAAAAATATGCCAAAATATGACAGCAATTGGACGTAGATGGTTTTCTTTTGGTCGATCTTGATTAGAGAAAAAAGAACGCCACCACTCATGTTTTCTTTTTCTTTTTCTCTTTTTGTTCTTTTGATATAAATGTCGATGCATACTGACGTAAGCATAAAAAGAATAAAAACAACATACTCATCTATTTTCAGCATCTAGCAACGACATACACACATTTATTCTTGCACTTTACATATATTCGCAAAAAGGAAAGCGTTCTTTCTTTTTCTTTTTTTGCTATTCATGACATCTCTTCTTTTTCTCTCGATAAGAATTAACTATCTCCGCTTATAAAGCAGAATTAAAAAATATATTTGTGTTCTCTTTCTATTTTTATTTGACATAGTTGGAAGGTAAGTCATAGTTGATAAAATATTGTCTTAAACAACAACATGACGTCATTTATGTAGATAAAAAAGGGCAATATATTTAGTTAGACAATGACACCATACGTTAGTGTTCAGAAATATTTCTCGATAAATTAAATTGATTTCTAAAAGAATATTAACAGTGAGCAATCGTACCATATCTATTTAATATATATAAAATTTGAGCCTTAAGAAAACTAAGTAAATAATAAACATAGACATCGAAATATGTTTGCGTGTATGATTAGATAAAACTGTTATTATGTATAAAATTTTCGAGTGTCTTACATTTGCATAGTCAACTTCACTATTTCGCTCTGCAGTTGCCTTACAGCAATTATTTTGTGTGTGCATTACATACAACTTTTCTTTTCTTTTTCTTTTTGTTCTTTCGTTCATTCTTTTTTCTATTTTATGCAATTAGGAAAAAACCAAGCCTTTATATTTGACATGTTTATTTCATTCAAAGTATTTTGTTTTAGATAGTATTCAAGCTGTGTATACCAATAAATTATCACAAATGATTTCTAAATTTGATAGTGTTGATTCAATAGTTCATTATTTACGAGAATCTACGTTATCATCATCAGTAGTTGATTCGACGATATCGAAGTCTCATTTGAATAATAATAAATTAAAATTACCAAAAGAACCACGAAAAGAAAAAAATCTAACAAATCCGATGAATACTAAGCCTTCATGTGTTATTACTGTACAGCCACAATTAGAAGGAGATATAAAAATCTTACCAAAAGGTCGTGTGAGGTAAAAGATTAAATGATGTTAAATATTGAAATAACTTTTTTTTTTCTCTTATATAACTTAGATATGGACCAATAACAGTTAATCCACGTAAACAACCATCAAAAACATTATATACTGGTCGTCGTTCAAAATATGAAGTTTTATCAGGTGATGAAGAGGAAAAACGTCGTGATCGTCGTGAACGTAATCGTGTAGCAGCGACAAAATGTCGTGAAAAACGTGACAATGTTTTGAATTATCTTGAAAATGAATATGCAAAAGAATTAAATAGTTATGAACGACTTTTTAAAAAGGTCGAAGACTTAAAACAACAAAAAAGTGATCTTGAGACATTTATAACAAATCATTTCAATGAATGTTTATTAATGAATAATTTACCATCATCATCACCACAATCATCAATGATCTTTGGTGACACAGCATTTCTCTCATCAATTAATGATACTTTACCACCACCACCACTTCCATCCTCACAACAACCAATTTTCTATAATGATGACGAAGAAATGAGTCATATTCTTGATCCTGATCCTATACTAACAAACTCAGCTTACAGTACTGATGATTCAAATTCAATATTACTTCCACAACAAGAATTACAGACAATAACAATGACAAGTGGTAGTATTGAACGGCTTATAAATAATTTACAAACACCAACAATATCAATGGAGAATAATAATAATCATTCAATATTATTTAATTCAGCTATTGGTTCATCATGTGCCAAACAACATTCAAATTCAAGTGAAGATGATTCATTACCATCAACTCGTGCAAATCCTTATGTTTGTTAAATATTTACAAGTTGGTGATGCATCTTAAAAAAACACGATATTCTCATTCAATCTAATTTCTCTCTTTTTTCTTTCTAGTCTTTTTCTCACTTGTCGCAATTATCTATGTCCTTTTTCTTTTACATACGTTTCGTCTTAAACATGATTATCATGGCTAACCATTTTGTGACTGTATTAATATTCGAAATTAATCAAGTAGTTCTTGTGTGATTTGTTTCTATACGTATATATATATTACTTCAAATGTTTTGGCTTTCTTCTCTTTTGTTTATATTTATACAACATATATCACCAATGAAAAATGAATATGAACATGATAATCTATTCATAAGACCTTTTTTTTTTCATGAATAGAATTGATACATTATCATTGAGGATTGATTTAAGTGTATGTTGTTAAGATAGAAATGTTCAAACGTTTAATCAAAACTTTAAATTAATATTGAAGTTTTCTGTTTATATTCAATAATATCTATCGTAATTTTTATAAATTAATTGATATTAAATAAATCACTAACTTTTTTCTAATATTGATTATCGATAATTTAATATATTAAAAAGTTCAACAGTAAAGAGACATTTTCAATTATTTATTTTGCTTTAATTGACATTAATTATAATTCAAAAAATAGGTATAGATTGAATCTAATTTAAGCTATTGTGATAATTTGTAGCATATGTGAATAAAATTCTTTCTATTCTCTATAACAGAGATAATCTGATAAAAGTTGTAAACAGGTAAGATCTGCTTCAGAATTGGTCTTTAAGTAAAGAACATAGCGGCTAATATTTTCTGAATGATAACTGAAAATAATTAGTTCAAACGATTGATATATTTATATTTAAGGTGTATTAAATTTATTGTAGCATTCAAAAGTACATACAATGAACTTAATAATGAACAATATGTTGCTAGAAGAAATTAAAATTTAAAGTTAGCCTATAGGGAAATCTTTAATTCCCTCATAAATAATATTAAATACACTATTATCTCTGTTTCTTCTTAGAAGCAAGTAAAATAAACACTAGTATCATGTGATGCCCTGTATTTGATGAGAAAGTGGAATTTAGTCCAGTAGAATCAAGCTTCATCCTAAGCTAAATTCCTTTTTTTTAGTTTCGTCTTCGTCCTCATTTCCAGTTTGTGTTAAAACTAACACCACGATTAATAATGAAATGTTAGAAAAAGAAATCCTAAAAAAAAACCGACCTTGAAAACTGTTGCTACAAAGCAACAGATGTTTAATATTGTACCCAATGTCATTCAAATAAGAAAAATGCATTTACCAATAATAAATGACTTCAGCAGATTCCATATTCTTAGTCGTTCGATTCTATCCTTAGAAGGTTTTTTTATTGATACCGAAGATTAATTATTTCTGTGAGGAAACATGAGTCATTGGTAAACAAATAATGATAATAATATAATTTAATTCAATTTTACAAAAAAACTTGGAATTTTCGACCATTTTTATCCAATACGATCATCGTCAACTCTAAAGACATGACTTCTGCCTTTAGGTTTCTATTTATTATAAAATAAACAATATTAATTAGAAATAGCAAGAAAAAGAACGATTTTAATCGATAATATAACATAATCCATAAATATATACAAATACCAATCGACATAATTTTAAATAAGAGTTATATGAATGTCTCTAAATGAAAACTATACATTCAATAATACCACAATAACAGTAATGAGAATGTTAGAAAGAAAAACTTGAATAATATCAATATCAAAAATGGATGATATTCGAGTTTCACTCAACTGCAAAATGCAGTACGAAGCTATGAATGCCGATGATCGAAAAATCAATATCTCATTCAAACAACCGAATAATCATTTTTATGATGTGCTATGAATCGCTTTTTTCCAACCGATATTAACGTTTTACTGGAATCAGGTCTTTCACTTTCGTTTTAAATTGTAAAATTTAGTCTGAAATATAATCTCAGAATAACAAATCAAATATATTTAACATGAGAATAATAACAATAAAATACTTACTACGTATCAAAGCTACAGCCTTTTAAGGAAAAAAATTCAAAAACCAGCTAATGAACTTTTTGTTTCATTTAATATTCGAAGTATTGAGCCTCATTATTTACAGACATTTTTCTGTTCAATTCATTTATAAAAAATTTTTATATACTCATCTTTACTAAACGAATTCATTATGGTCGTGACAGCACTATGCAACAATTCAGGGTTATTTTCATTGATCAGGTTAGGTTTGTTCAAGTCAAATAATCAAAAATCGCATTGTACCAGATGTAGAGAATTATGTACTTGTGGTTTAGTCGTGTTGCAGTTAGATTTGATGCTATCTGTGCTAAATGGAAGTTTTTGATTTTATTGAAAAGAGATCACAAACAATTGTTCATGTACTAGTAATATGATGGACAGATTGTCCTCTTTCTATATGATGGATTTCTTTTTTCGCTTTGTGTAACTATTTATTAACTCTCGTTATCTGAAAATGCTATCGTAATAGTTGGCTCTTTTCTATATTCAAAGATAATATTCACGAGCAAGTGACATATATAGATATGACAATATCTTAAAAACAAAAGAGTCATTGTTTATAATAATACTTTATTAAATGGTTCACTTATTAAGATGCAAAAAGAAAAAACAAAAAATTCTAATGATTTAATTGTTCAAATAAATTTTTTCATGTTGAAAGAATTGCTACCCTAGTGTATGTACTGAATTCAAAGTACCTTATTATCAGTATGTCATAGAATCTTACTTGGAAACTTTGCTGAGAATTGTCTCAGTACATCAGGAGGATTTTGTACTAAAATGCTAAAGACTCATTAAGTACTCTAAGGTATTGAAGTATCTAAAGGTTTCTGTGAGCTATTAGTAGCAGGATACTCTATACATTTATACAATATATATATATCAGAGTAAATACTTGTAAACTCTCTATTTTCCATTGATAACTTGATTCCTTGATGTAAAGAGGATAAAAGAAGAGATGTTCGTGTAAAAGTAACCATGTCAATTATTTTCGATGTTTA